ATATATATATGTATGTATATATATATGTATATATATATATATGTATGTATATATATATATACTAATATATATATATATACCTATATATATTCATGGACGAGCGTTTTACTGCGTATTGGTATTGATGGTATTTTGTTCCACTGTGCTGATGCCTGAATAGTTTATATGTAAGCTTTAGGCATAGTATACTGGACTGTCTAGCGAGCCAGCCATCTCAGTACCCGTCCATTGCATACCATACAAAACATTTGGGAAAGTCAATCACCATGGCAACCATTGACCCTATTGTACCTCTATGCCTGCGTAGGTGGAGAGGGTTGTGGCCGAAGTCACGGTGCCCCCAGAGGTCACCCCTGAGAAAGTCACTACCCACATCGTCGACTCAGCAGGTGCGTTCAGGAAACACTTTGGATAATCTAAACCTTATAACCCTAAAACCCTAAAACCCTATGGATAAGCTATACCGTACTTGATGTCATTCATAGCACTCCCCCTACGAATGAATAGTATGGGTTGTTCGTGGCTGAAATAGGCTCCAGTTTGGAATAGGCGTATTTTTGTTAACAGGCTAGTTGTGTGTAGATGTGGTTGTATGTGGAGCTATGTATATACCTACAATTGACTGTTCTGCATTAATAGGGTTTTAGGGTTTCTAAACCCAAAACCAAAAACCCTATACATAAATAGAATACATAATATATATATATATATATATCACATACATAGTATATATAAAATAAACGAATGTCTGCACATATATTTTATATATATATATATATATAATATATCGTATACATATTATATGTACTATACATATGTCTTTACCTGTATTTTGTACTAACTATATACCACATACAGTGTATATATAACAAACAAATGTCTCTATACAACTAATCACATACATAATACTCCCACTCATTCCTCCGCCGTAGCATGTATCCCTGTCTATACCTCCACCCCGTCATCCTCGTTCGCATGCATTGTTATTTACATTTTCCCTCATTTTTCGTCCCGCTTTGTCCCGTTTTATTACGTTCTGTGTTCACGTATTGGCCATTGCAGCTGATGACGAGGAGATGCTGCCCGTGCGCATCCGGCAGAGTGACGTCATCTGTATTGTGTATGACGTCGAGCGAAAGGAGACGTTTGACCGCATTGAGAGCCACTGGCTACCGTAAGTCTGCCTGTGTGACGTCATAAACTAGAATCCACGTCACTGCTATCTTATCTGCCTAGGGATATCAACATTTGCGACAATGTGTGGTTGGCGTTCGGTGTAATATATATATATATATATATACCTAAACCCTATATCCCAATTTTTCATACTCACAACAGCCTGGGATATCATACACCGTAAATTATAAACCCTAAACCCTACATTATAAACTCTACGCACGACACAACAGTCTATCAGATTACACATACCTGGATATACTAATATTACACGCACGCACACACACACACACACACACATACATACATACACTGGGTATAGGTTAATACACAAAGAAACGGCTGAGAGGGATCCAGAAGGCACGCGCGCACTGATCCCCGTCATCCTCGTGGGCAACAAGATCGACATGCGAGGCTCAGATATTGTGAACAGAGACCTCGAGAACAATGTCATGCCCATCATGGTAAGTGTGTGGGTGTGTGGGTGTGGGTGGAGGGGGGGGGGGGCGGTGTGTGCGTGTGGGTGTGAGGTGAGAGAGTGTGTGCGGTGTGATTGTGTGGGCCATGGTCAGGATATTGGACATATGCATCGTCGCGTCATAGACTTTATCTGCTCATATACCGGGACAGTATCAAATGGCTTAAACAGAGTAACCTATCATCTTTACCCTCACGCAACGGACTTAAGTGGAGTTCTGTATTTGTCTTAGGGTTTAGGGTTTTACTAGACTTAAGTGGAGTTCTGTGTTTGTCGGTGGTCTGTTGAGTGTATTGTGCTGCAAAGAGACGTGTCCGTTCCATCGATGTATCCTGCCTAGAGGTTAAATCCCTAAACCTCTAAACCCCTATAACCCTACAACCCTACAATCTTAAAACCTTAAAACCCCTGCTCAGATGTGCCAGGAAGAGGCACAGTTCAGGTTCAAGCTCCTTTGCCTCACTATCACATAATAATTAATTGCTCAGAGTACCCGTAACGTAGAATCAGGACACTATCACTCCAACGTATGTATCAGATGTCTCTGTTGCTGTCATGTCACTGTCACTTGTCATGTCATTCATATGCAATGACATGCCACAGATTTACCTACCGTCCATCGGTTGCTAACATTGTTACTGTGGGGTGCCCTGTAGGTCAAATACTCTGAGGTGGAGACATGTGTCGAGTGCTCAGCCAAATCAATGCTCAACCTCAGCGAAGTGTTCTACTTCGCTCAGAAGTCTGTGCTCCACCCCACCGCACCACTCTACGACACCCGCACACACACCCTGACGGTAAGCTCTTCAATATGTATGTAAACTTGTACATTTATATGTGTATACGTATAAATATATATATATATATATACATATATATATTTATATTAAACTTATATATATATATATATATATATATATATATATATATATATATATATATATA